CAAAAGTTGGCTTTCTTTGCTGGTCCAGGGGTTTGCAAACCCTTTATATTATCATTTGGGTGATCTCAGCTGATATCAGGTTCTCATTAGCCAAGTAGCCATACTTTGAATGGAGGGGTCCAAGGTTTTGGTCTGACTACAGAGAGATGGTGCTATGTACACAGCTCATTTCAGTAGAACAGGTGGGGTCTTGGATAATAGTTGTACTCAGGTTTTTGTTTAGTATGAAGGTATCAGCCTGAGCAGATCCTCTGGATGCCATCAGGTATACTCCTTCCAGGCATATTCTGTTGCAGCATACTGCAAGATCCTATCTCATTCAGTAATTTCTGCATATCAGTACTCAAGTCCAAGAGGCATAGCTAGCCAGTGTATGTCTCCCCATAAAAAATGTACTCTCTGCTTATATAGTCCTTGATACTCCTCCTTTCTTGCCTGCTCCACCTCTTCTCTTAATGCTTCTTCATCTGTGTCTTTGTCAGCATATTGCATGAACTGTTCAGGCCTAAAGAGACCCTCCTCACTTCTTTTATCCTTCTCATTACCCTCATTCCCACTGTCCTCTTTCTCGAGGAGAGAACTGACAGGCAGGTCATAGATTAATGGCATGATCAGTTTGATTGTTGCCAGAGAGCTTGTTGTCATTCCTGGTGCTAGGCCCAGCAGTGCTAGGGTCAGGCCCAGGGGCAAGATGCTGGATGGGAGGATCAGGGAGCTGGTAATAGCAAGTTCCTTCTCATGCTCTCTCCTCCTCCAATTCTCTGCTATAGAGGTCAAAGTTTTGATAGAACTTGGGATTGAGAAACTGATGGGTGACCTGGCTTCCCAGAAACTGACAGAGGGCTCTGTCAGAGACATAGGCATTGTCTGGTACTCAGAGTCTGTTGAAGAGGATCTGAGTGTGTGCAAAGTGAAAACAGATACAGCAAAGCATTATCCACTGTTCACACTCACACCAACACACACACAAAACTCTTAGTTTGTAGGGAGATTATAATGCAATAAAAGTAGCAATTGACAAATATAATTGTCTTCTTCAATGAGATCACAGCATGCAAATGGTAATAGTGTGCTTACAACAGTCCGAGGCCTTTCTAAGTCTCAAAGCTTTTTGTTTTATCAAAACAAGAGGTGGCAACTGGTGTTGCTGGGTCTCAAGGCAAAGGGTACTATAGTTCAATACAATACATCAAAACACTCCTTCAAAATTCTCTAAATGGTTCCAAGCACAGCTCAGATCAACTCAAATCCCTAACACACACAATACACAACTCAAAGCTTTGCACTCTAAGCAAAAACCAATCACAAACACATCTACAAGTGACCAAAAGCACAGATCTCTGTTCACAAGTTTTCAAACTGATTATAGACCCACAAGATTCAAACCTATGTGATCCAGAGACACAAACACAATAAAACCCTGTCCAACAGACCAAAGGGTTTGAACCTCTGCCATCTGTAGTGCTGTGCATCACAAATACCTCAAAAACTCAAGATGATGCTCTTCAGACACCACTCTCTTATTCTCAGGTTAAAGTGTAATTCAAAACCTCTTATCAAACTGGGCTCAAGTCCTTTGCAAGCTTTGATGCCTCACTTAGTTCTCACAGCACTCCTAATGATATCAATAATCAGTTTATTCTCTTGCCCAGAGTTACTAACACAAACCCAGAGCTAGAGTGCAAGGCTTTCTGTGCTCAATACACTGCAACTGTGAGGGGTCAGAAAACTTGTATTCTACTCATACAATACTGTATTTAAATACTCTACTGTGGTACTTACTAATACAATCCTACTATGGTATCTTCAAAGTGCAGGACTCCATGCCAGATCCCATGGATATTATTCACATGCATATTGCAGTTACTACACTTATTCTCTTTTGGGTGAGGACTGTGCCTACTGTTGCTTTACTAGCTGATATTGGCTAGCTGGCCTTGCCAGGTCTGCTTGCTTTCTTATTTCCCTGGTGATATCTCTGACAGCAGTAAACTATTCCAGACCTCTGGAGTTATCTCTTATACCAGGAGCCAGCCACAATAGCTATATTCTGCTTTTCTGTGTCCAATCAGTCATTCTATCTGACTTATCAAAGGTGTCATTTCTCGGTATGATGTGGAGTCTCTCACTGTGTTATATGCACTAAGGCACTATAAGTATGCATACTATTCATTCCTGGGGTAATATTCCTCTGCTTATTACTTTGTTGTCATCATTTTATTTCTCCATTCAATACCCATTTACTCAGATACCTTTCTTTGGGTCTCAGTTCTCTGTTCTAAAGCATGTCCCATCAGTGCATCAATGGCTGTGCATCTTTGATCAATGTGATCAGAATTGCTGATCATATTTTGATCGTAGTCTTTTTATTTTTAACATGTCCTCTCATAATAGTATTGGTGTATTTAGGGCCAAGTGCTGAGACCTCACATGCAGCCTAACCCCTCTGATATTAGTATGTTACTAGGCCATGCACTCTGCTTATTGTTACTTCAGTTTTAGCATTATGATAACTAGGTTTCTGTGTGCTCTAGTCCTATTTTCTGTTACATGCTTACTGGACTGGAATGCAGTCCATGTATTTGCAATTTTCACAATTTTACATGCCTGAACATGGAGAGGGCATGTCACTATATGCTCTGAGGATGGAGTTGGCATCAGAAAGGAGGGAGTCAGTTCTGATAGGGTACTTGAGAGAAGAAGGGTGGCAGCTCTCTTGGACAGCCTGATCCCTTCAGATGGCTTCATTTCTGTCAATAATACTTCTGGTTGATCCTGCTCATAAGTCTGTTTCTGAGGCAGGCTCCCTGAAGAGAGATCCCAAACTTTTGAAGTGAAGACCATACCAGTCTGGGGAGGTGGATCCCAGTTGGGCAGCTTCTTTGGCTTGCTCCTGTCGCCATGCCTGGTGGTCATATCCAGCCTCCTTATACTCCTGCTGAGCTTCTGAGAAAGCATACTCAGTGAGCTCCTCTCAGGCTTGCTCATCTTCTATTCATCATGCTTAGTTCTGTTGCTGCTGTTGTACTGTGCTGTCATAATCAAAGGGGACTCAAAGGTCTCAGTCTGAAAAGACTCATTGAATAATTCTGTCCTGAGCAATCCTTTCTCTAGTGCTTGCCATGGCTGCTTCTGGCTCACTTCTGACATGAAGATGATTATAGGAGTCCTCTGCTATAGCAATGGCAAGCTCCACATTCACAAAATCCTGATAGATGCTCCTTTTATAGGGATCATCGAGCCCCAGCCTGCCAATGAATAGGCTTGACTTGGGAGTAGCATAGAGGGAATGGTGGGGGGGGCTGGAGGTTGTCTGAGGTCTCGAAGCCATCTGAGTGGCATCAAGAGAGTCCTGAGCATGATTTCCAATCCTGGAGACATTAGAGGAGATGGAATGGCTAGTGGCAGAGGCATTCAGAGGGATGTCATCAGGGACCTCCTTGGGATCCTGGATGATGTTCATTGTCCAAGGGTTCTGGAATCCTGTGAGGACAGGGTTGCAGTTTCTGCTAGGTCATCAAGGAGGGTATCAAGATCCTTCTTCTTTCTGAAGGCTCTCTGAATGTGAGTTGCTATGCCTGGCTTCTGATACAGGTCACCCTTGCAGCTGGAAGAACATTCTGACAGAGGTGGAGATGTCATAGAAAGATAAGTCTGGGGTTACATTTTGGAGAATAGTGCAGATCTGTTGAAATGCTTGATAGTGCCTGACTATCCAAGCAGTTACTGATTGTCATCCATGACAGAGAGTAATGATCACAAGAAGGCCTAGTAGCATTCTAATAATGGAAGCTATCAATTCAAAGAAGTCATGGTTAAGGTTGACAGTAGTGGCAGAGAGCATTTGGTTTCTCAGCACAATTGGGCTTGAGAAAGAGAAGATGAAGCTTTAAGCTAATTGTTAGACTCAAGCTGCATGTGATCAATGAGCACATGATAAACTATCATGACTTCATGTTTGAGCCTTCCAATAGAGTCCACTTATATGTGCTAATGCTGATTCTCAGTGCATCAAGACTTTGTGTGTATAGCTTGAAAGTAAAATGAGATAGAATAAACTTTAGCTCAAAGCTGAGGATTACCAGTGAGAGTGAGCAGTCTTAAATACTGTACACAGTCTGCTAATAATACTACTACTTACTGTGTGTTTTTCTGTCTATTGTGCTCTTTGTCCTTGAGCATTGCTATTGTACATAAAAGGTTGCTTGTATATCACCAGGCAATGCTGTTGCATCAAAGAACAATGATGGACTCAGCCATTTGTGATGACTAAGCCTTCATCCCTCAGTCCTAAGCACTCATCTTAGTGCTCTGACTAAGCATAAATAGAGGTTAATTGAGGAAAAGAATGGAAAAATCATAATACAGGTTCAAGGTTTGAAATGTCTTCATCAAATAGATTATCATTCTGGGACTGACTGTCTTGTTCAGTAGATATAAACATCATTCCAATTGAAATGTGATCAACTGTTTCAGTTGTCTCTGCCAAATTTTGAAGCTGGTGATCATCTGTCAAGTTGTAATATATACCATATGCTGAGAAGCCTGATGGCCCTATTTTGTTACTTGACTTTTACTGTGTTATTGTGAGGACAATTTCTAGCCATATGTCCCACTTCTTCACATCTAAAGCACTTATTTGCAGTGACAAGTTCTGCCTTCTTGCTTTCCAATAGTTTATTTTCAGAGCTAGAATTTGTGATAGACTTGCTTCCACTATTGCACTCTCTGTTCAATGGCTTATTACCTCTGGAAGATGACAAGGATTGATTGTAGCTCAATGACTGACTATATGAGTTAGATCCTCTCTTGCAGGGTCCATTCTTTTCATGAGAACATCCTTTTGAATGACTGTTATCAGACTTATATTTCTTAGATATATGCTCACTATTTCTGTGGTTATTGCTGTTTCCAGAACCTCTCTGTGATGGCTTCTTTTCTGTGGTACTTCAAGGTGTAAATTCAAGGTCAGTGATTTCAATGAGTTCAGCCTCTTCAACAATATGATGCCAGCTATAAACCTCCTTATTGAGCTTTGCTTGATGGAGTTCATGCTGCATCTCCTTATAGAATCTATCCCAAAGCTTGATAATATGCTCATGCTTGCTAGTCATACCAACAAGGCCATACAAGGTTTTCAGCTCATAAATGTATTCTGAAATAGTGCAATCATTCTGATAGCACTTCTTTATTTTATCCTGTTACTGACTTCAGTAATTTAAAGGGAAGCATGAATTAAAGATTTCTCACAAGAAGTCTATCAATATCCATTCTGCATGGTTTTTCAAAACCTTCTGAATGAAGAAAGATAATGCCTTTTCCTTCAGGTAATGTGATGCCAGAAATACCTGTTCATCCTTTGGAACCTGACCTTCTTTGCAGAATTGAGTCAATTCCATTGTGAAGCAATGGAATTTTTCACCATCAGCTGTACCATCATATGGTGTAGGAGGTATTGGTTGAATCAATCTTTTGTGATGATGTTTTCAACTTCTATGCTTATGCCAATGGGAACCATGCCTTCTAGTATGACAATGATGGTGTTGACATCTATGATTGGATAGCTCAGAGCTATCTGATGCATCTGACTCATCACTTGCATCACTGCTACTTGAGCTCAATGAGCTTGAACCAGTGCTTAAGGAACTATTGTCTGACAGAGAAGATCCTGAATAATTAGAGTCTGAATCTGAGTTGGACTCATTACTGGGAGTAGACTCTGATGATTCAGAGCTAGAGGAACTAGCATGATGCTGATGCTTCTGTTTTTCAAGCTTTTTCTTATTGAGTTTCTTCTTATGCTCAGATGAGATCTTCTGCTTCTTCTTTGATTTGCCAACATCTAACACATCAGCCAAGAAGCTATCAGGTGGTAGCTGATCCACAGAGTGAGTAGACCCATGTCAGCTATTTGAAGGTGCTTTCAAGTGTTCTCATATGATGTTCCTCATTCTATGATTGGTCAATAATCTGACAGTCTTTTATTTCAAAGATTTTGCACTTGTCTTAGAGGGTGCCTTTTTTGGTTGAGGCTCTGCCTCCAAATCTGACTCAGAACCTTCATCTGATGTTTCTTCTACTTCAAGAGCATCATAGCAGCCTGTTTTGTAAACCTTTGTCTTTGGTTTTGATCCCTGAGGTCTTTCTTTCTGTTTATTATGCTTAGAAGACTTTCTGACAGTTATAAAACCATCTTCAACCTCTGGATGGGCCTCTGAATGGGACACATCACCTTTAGGGACTTCTTGATTGATGTCTCAAGCCTGATTCCATGTTTCAAGAGCCTCATGTTGTGCCTCAACATCTAATTCAGTGTTATCAATCTCCTGATTGTGGTTGACAAATTTTCCTTTAGCTATGTAAGAGTTAGGTCCAGGTGTAGCCATCAGAGTCTGAGATGCAGTAGGTTGCTCTCAGCCCTTGTCTTCCATCAGCTTGTTCTGATGTTTGGCAAGCATTTCTTGCTGTGCAGTTGTCAAATTTCATTCAGCTGCATCAATGATAGAAAGCTGTTCCTTCATGTGCTTCCTTCCTTTGTGTAGTCCTCCAAAATGAACTTCACATTTCCCCAGGTCATCAAGACTCTAAGTACAGTGAAGCCTTGCAGGTCTTGCCATTCTATTGGATTCTTCTGCATCTGTACTATGGGATGCTTTCTCAAAGGTAGAAGATGTAGATGATTCATAATCATTTCCATTATCTACATCACTACAGGATGAATCATTATCTGAAACTTCCATGGTTGGATTTCCCTTGAAACTGACATCCTCTGATTTCTCTGAGTGATTTGAATCCTCTTCCTCTGCTTGTGCACAGGCAAGAGGAAGGTTTCTCAGTGCTGTAGCACCAGATGCTGGAACATGGCTCACAGCCAGAACAGGGGTAGCATCCTGAGCACTTGCAGTGCTAGAATCTGCCACATTTTTAGTATCAAAGTCTGTTGGTGACAACTCACCTGATAACTGAGATAAAGGATTGTCCATCCCTGGTGTAGCTGGCACAACAGTGTTGTTGCAATGGCTGTGCAAAGGGTAACATGACATCCTAAGGAACCAAGAAGTAAAGAGAAAAATTAGATATTGGTGTCGAAGTCAGAATGTCCTTGGGTGATCAAGCTGTAGGGGGTCCAGATATCGATGAAGAGAGATATAGAGAGTTTAGAGAGAAAAGCACAGATGAGAGAGAGAAAAAGATAAAAGCAAAGATTAAGCCAATGGAGCTGTCAAAAATGAGAGGGTGGTGAAAGTCACTTCTCTCATGAAAGGCTCATGCAGTCACTGACAGGCATATAGGCTTGGTTGACTGTGAAAACCTCTAGCTATAATACATGTACTGGCTTATATATATATATGGTGGGAATAACAAATATGGGCTAAACCGGGGAGACGGGGGAAAGAGGGAAAAACGTCAGGTAAAAGTATCGGGCCGTGGAACGACTCGTAACACCATGGCGCTAGTTCTTTTTTCAAGGATGCCGGACTTGACGAGAGGTTTTGCAGCCACGTTACAGAGGCAGAGATTTCCCCGTTCTTTGCTCTTTCTTTCCTAGAATCCACGGGTCGGAGTCGAATAAGTTGTGCGGCCCAAGATTGTGGCAAAACGGAGGGTCTCAAGCGGTGTGCCTGGTGTAGAGCGGTCAGCTATTGTTCTGCGCTCTGTCAAAAGTCGGACTGGAAAAGACATAAATTGGTTTGCAAGAAGCAGTAAAAATATCGGTTTTCGCTAGTACTGACCGTAAGAAACTACTGTATTTTTTTCTTGACTAGTTTCGAGTGCTGTGGCTGTGCAAGATGTCACTTCCTTTCATACCACGCAATGTCGCGACAAAATCCAAGAAAATACAGTCAACAAAGGGCAGAGATATGGACATATCCTCCGCCTCTTCTTCCCGGGTTCCACCATCAGTAGTTAAAGGCAAAGAACACGAAAAACTAGATATCGATAGACCTGTAGTCAAGCCTGGTTTTTCTGACCAAGAGTATGCGTCCCTTATTTCCTTAGCGCTCTCCGACTTTGCACTATTTTCTGATCCAGACCTTCGGCGTAAAATTGATGGAGGCGAAGATGGGTGTGAGTTTTCCTTCGTCTATGATATCCAACGTATTAACGACAGACTTATTGCAGTCGTCTCGTTACTTCATGTTCTGAAGCACGCTCTTCATGGTATCCTCATTTCCGAATCAGAGACAGCTGTCGCCAAAGCTCTGCGGTCTGAGGCTACTGACATCCTGGAGGTCCGGATGGTCTTGTCTGGGCCGTCGTGGTCAGTGCAAGGATCGTACAAAAACAAAGGAATGTTCGAGGTGCGGAGAAGGGATTCAGTGGCGTCTCTATCGCGGAACAAGTTTACAAGGGAGGATTGGAATGAACGGATGCTATACATTGTACGTGCGCTGTTTCTTGCTTCTGACACCCTTAATGACTTTAGTACCTCAGGAAAATACCCCAGTTCAATATGCATCGCTCTCTGGGGTCTTTCATCTCATCCAAGCGCTGCTTGCGAAAAATACTGATACAGTACCGACCTCTAATCGTATACAAGCTATCTCTTTCCCGCCACATCATCTCGACAAACCAAGAGACATCCCAAAGTGCAAAGGCTTCGCTCTCGTCACACTCCTCGACGTCGAAGACGTGCAGCGACTCCTACGCGAGTGGCCATGGACCTCCGCCGTCGATGTCAAGCCGCCTATCCCAGAAATCCAAGAAGCTGTCAAATTCGGGTTCCGAACGCTTTCCAAAAGACGATGGGACGAAATGAAGGATGAATACCTTGCGTATCGTGCACGGCTGGTAAAGGAGATAGTGGCTTACGAGGATGAGATAACCGTGATCAAGCGAAGACGATCGCCTTCACCTGCGATATCGTCGATTCCCCCTCAAACAGTCGAGTCGACACTGTCATCTTCATCGCTATTCCCACCAAACTGCCTGGTGTTCGTTCGAAATCTCCATTGCGAGACTAACAAGACGACTTTACGAGCGCTGTTTTCCAAAGCATTCACAACCCTTCCCGATGGCATCGATTATGTCGATTTCACCAAGGGAATGGATTCCGTGAGTAAAAGGCCTTCGGGACTCGAAACTCTGATTGATATCAAATTTCTAGTGTTATTTGCGTGTGGCGACGTCGGAGCATGTACGCGCCCTCACGGACTATTTTACTCAAGCTAAGATGGCACAAACAAACGGGCTTGATAGCGAAGGTAGAGATGTCGAGGCTAAGGCAATTACTATGGAGACTGTAGGAGGGCGAAGAGAAGAGATTTACTGGGAGAAGGTACCGGCCAAGGTCCGACGCGAGGCTGTTGACAAGGCACTGCGCTTGCTGGAGTCAGACACAATGCGGAAAGATAGTGGTGGAAACAAGAGAATTAGGCGGAAGAAGTGATGTGCGACCGTCTGTTTATGACTGTTTTGAGAGCCTAATTGAAGGCAAAATTCTTGAGTGGCAGATGCCACTGCTACTGTCGATACAGAGTAGCCATCTAACTGGTGAGGAGAGGTGACAACTTGGAAATCAGGCCCGACGAGCCTCATAGTGATGAGGTTATCATTGATTGCGACACTAAGCAGGTGGTATAAGATCTCCATAAGCACTCTTATCGTAAAAACATGCACAATCATTTGCAAGTCCTACAATCGTGTTTCTCAGTTGAATGGTTTGAGAAAGAGTAAGCAGCACGTACATGAAATAAATGAAGCAAGGGGAGATCTTACCTCGTCAAAGCACAACAGAAAACACAGGAGAGTGACGCATAACAGATGAAAGAAAATAGTGAACCTCATTTCTTATATCCCATCGCTTTCAGTCGCTCTCGGACCCGCATGAGAGCTCTGCCTAGGTGATTCTGACCCTGGCCATCAGGCCCTTCGCTCCAGTAAGAGTCGTTCGGATCAGCATATACCAATTCCGCAGAACCAGTACTCAGGAGGAGGTTCCGGACGTCAGGATTTTGTCCGTACTTGTGGTAGAGCACTTCTTCCAGCTATGGAACTGATTAGCTGAGATGGTCTGACGATACGAGAATCCACGTGCGATAGTTTTATGCACCTCACCCCAATCTGATCGTTGATACTGCGCAAAACTGGCTGACAAGGGAAAGACATCCCCAATGTTCTTGCACAGTCGGATGTTGTCTGCAATCTGGGGGTTGTCGGGGAGGAACTTCATGGCTTCGAAGAGATGCATAGCGGTGTCGTACGTCTGGTTGTTGTACATGACGCGATGGAAAGAGTGATTGCAAAAGTCGCGATATTCGTTGTCGAAAGTGATTCGTATGACAGAAGACGGGATTTCGGGACGGGGTTCTGGGGGTGGAGGTTCGGCGGGTTCCGGTACAGGCATTTGCACGATTGGAGGAGCAGCGGAGGCCGCACTCATGGCAACGGGTGGCGGGCCTGCTGATGTCGAGCCAGACGACGATGGTGCCATGGAACGATTCAGCACTGGAGGCCCGGCATCGGGGCGATAACCGTTAGCCCCCACGTTGACTGGGACAAAATGTATCCGCGGTTCCTCCTTCTTCTTGGACGATAGCGATCGTAGAAGACCTTTGCTTTTGCCGAATATGCCTTTTGATTTTGGAGGGAGGTCCTGTGAGAAGCTGGCAGTTAGGAGGGCCGTCGTTTGGGGAAGGTCAAGGATGGCGTTGTAGGGCGATGAGGCGTAGAGGTCGCGAGGTGGTTCTGGTAGCGGGTTGTGATGTTGCAGTGGAGGAGGGCCGGGGCGTGGAGGAGGGCCGTATGCGGCTGGTGGTGCTGGAGACATGGGTGCGATAAGATCAGCTAGCGGGTGGTCATGTCCTGATCCACCTAATTCGTCCTGGGGTAGTGCAGGGCCACTCGGATAAGGTGTATGAATACCAGTCGAGCGCCTCAGAATACTTGGTCCAGGTTGGGCCCGTTCGTTGTGTACTGGGTGGAATTATCTATGGTTTTATTTCCTTGTTATCGCAAATAAACTGACCGTGAATCTCAGAACCTGCCCTGGAAGCTGGAATGACATGTCAACCCCACTATTAGAGTACGCGGAGACGACGCACGAATCACTGGATCAGGAACTGGCAGCACATCAGATAAAATTGAATAAATATCACAAAGTGGACGCACCACGGTCTCTATACTCATCATACCTTCTCTTGCGAGATGACTGGTGCCGCCTCCGTGACCTCCTGGCATCAGCAGAACGTGGTACAACTATCGTTGGCTGGGGTAGGACATGGCCATATACCGGGGCAGGGCCGTATACAGGAGCAGGGGCGTATGCAGAGCCAGAGCCAGGCGCATATCCATAGCCGTATGTAGGTGCAAAAGGTGGTGGTGGTGGGTAGAATCCTCTCTGCCTCGACGATGACTGGCCCATCGCTGCTAAAGGGAAAAGATGAGAAACAAGCCGACACTGGGTAGATAGATATACCTAATGATTGAATGTGGAAAACATGAGGCCGGTAATAGAAGACTGAAAGGAAGATCTCGAACGCGTCCGAACCACGGTCCCGTGCAAATTTCTGTTTTTGGAACTAAAGCATCATTCCAGCCTTGAAAATTTATGCGCTCTTTTTGCTGTCTCTTTGAAGCTGATATTTATGTGCGATTCTGATACTCAACAAAAAACTTTCTCTCTCTTTCACATAACATAAACCCAACAATCAACGTTTCAGCTCCAATCACCACAATCACCAACGTGGATGTCACGAATCTCTGTGCCTGGCAGTCAACCCGAACACGGCTCGTAAGTGTAACCTGGAGGAACACTCGCTCAGGCTTGTGTTCAGAAACAGCGTACCCTCGTTGGAATGTTTTCGCGCACGTAATTATCGTAACTCAAACAAGTGCCGACAAACTCACCGAGCGCTTGAGGATTCTTTGATACGTGTTTTACTGCGCAGAAGTTCAACTACACCTGTCAACCATTGAAGCCTATTCATCGAGGACTTCTTCAAAAAGCACGTGGATCCAAAAAAAAAATCATTTGTCTGGTATTGCAACTTTAGTGTCGAGACCCAGCAAAAGTGTGTTTGTTTTGTGGTCGAAATAACGACCGGGCATAGCATCGTTGTCCAATGAATGGATGGATGACCTGTTCTCCTCGGCATAAATACATCAATGTAAGGTGATAAAGAACGTGAGGCTAAAGGAATGTGACGCAAAAGAAATGGTGGAATTTGACAACGACTTCTTCAATCTTGGTACGTTGAAGGCGGGGCCCCATCAGCCGTGTGTTCTCCTTAGTCAACATCTCAATTCGTTTCTGCAGCGCCTGTATCTGTGCTGTTCCGTTCGAGGGTTGCTCCATCTGCGCCATCAAACGGTTGATCTCTTCCAGTCGGCGTCTGATTTCCGCTTGGTTCTCGGAGGCGGCACGGGAGGGAGGAGTCGATGAGAGTGGCTCGAAGACCTGTGGGGAGCCGATAGTCGGCATAGATCCCACAATCGACGTGCCTCCTGTTTGCAGCCAAATCAAATTCTTTTCGCGTATGGGGGGCGTAGGAGTAGACAATTCGGCCTGGCGAAGAACGAATTCGTCTGGGGCGTCTTGAAAGAGAGTAAGCGTTGAAAGAAGAGTAGTAGCGAGGGGTCAAACGAACCGATATCCGGCTCAGACAAGTTTATCGAATTAGATGATAAGTTCGTTTTCTTCGTCGCCTCCAAAACAGGGTGCCTATTATCAGGGATAAAGCAACAACACCGCCCATCACGCCTCCAACAATGCCTCCGAAGGCGGTCATTTTTGCAGGTGAGCTGGAGCCGGATGAAGAGGATGAATCCGTGCCCGAGGAGCCGCTACTACTTGAAGACGACGACGAGCTACTGCCTCTGGACGCCTGGTCGGAATAGGTGATGTAATCTAGCATGAATGACTGGTCACCAGTGACCGCTGTGATATTCACGATAAGCGTGTGGGTTCCAGAATCGAGGATCGAAGACGAAAAGAACATCGCGTTGGCTACGTCATTACCAGAACTCGTACTGGTTGTAGTGAAGGTAGTGGCCTTCCCTCCATCTACGCGGAAATCAGCAGAGATGCTTCCGTTTATAGAAAGCCTCTGGGCGCCGGACACAGACACGTTCGTCCCTGCCGACAATGGTAAGCTAGTCACCTCAATTGAACGCGATGAGAGCTGACCTCTGAACTGGAAAGAAAAAGAGTCCCCGACAGTGCTACTGTCCTTCGTAGAGTTCCCAAGCGGGCGATTCTCGATGTACGTCCTCGTGGTATGAATCAGGGTACCCGTATTTGTTTGCCAGTCTCCAGTCCAGACGATGCCTTCATTGGTATGGTCTACCAGGATGTTTTTACCTAGGACCGCTGATCGCATAGTCCACGTCTATCTGCTCCATCTCTGTAAGAGTGATAGTATGATTGCCGTCGTCCAGCGTCGGCAACATATACCACTGCATGTATGTTCCCGGCGACGGGTAAGAAGCGACATACGTATCTGCTCCGTCGATGTACACAGAAGAATCCTGCTTATCCGACTGGCCAGGGGTGTTACCGGTAAAGGCGATCGATGTACCTGTCAGAGAGTCAAGTTACTTCCATAAGATTAGCCAAGAGGGACGGAAGCACCTTCGAATGTAACTGAGAAGGATCCATACGTTGAGGTGTTTTCGTAGGTGGACGGGGCTCAACTGGAATAATTCTGATACCACAACTGGCCATGACTAGGTCCCCAAACGAAACTGGGACTGAAGCCAGGCGAGAATGCAGCGTCGTCCAGTAATATCAGACCGGCGAGCATCTGAGAAAGGAAAAAGGGAAGAAAGATGAAGATGGAGGAGCAATAACCTGGCCTTTAGTATTTCTGCCCAGGAACATCAATAATAGGCAACCCGTCGAAACATTGACAGAGGATGCCTGATTGTGGTAAATAAACGCCCCTCAGATTTTTATCAAAACCAATACTTCACTGCCCTGGCACACATGCCGACAATTCTGTATCGAGCAACAACTGTTTTTATTTAAGCACAGTGTGAACCAGCAGTCCGATTTCCGCTCATAGAACTCAGAACGAACATCATGGGCGAAGAAAATGAGTCCTTGTGGACTCCTTTCATGTTACCTCCTTCACAGTTGTGCATCGTAATAGATGGAATCAGCTAAAGAAAAGAGTATGCGCCGCTTATTTTTAATAAGCAAAAAAACAAACGCAAAGTATACCCAACCGGACCTGTATCTGAGCGATCATCCATGGCAGTTGGTCCAGGAAGGTAATTTCATTCAAAGGTTAGTTACATCACATAGCCTATTACGAGGGAGAGTGATAGAATCAAGACAAACGACGCACGCGTTATTTACACTAACAGGGTCATCAGCGACCCAGTATGGGGAAAGATACAGAGGCGTACCACTATACACTTAGCCAACTTAAGGAAAGGAGGAAAGTGAAGGTACATAGATAACACTAGGAAACTCGTCAGCTGCATCCAGGGCCATCGCACGATCAAACATACCGAATAGACATTCACCAACCCAGACGGAAGAAAATGAAGAAAAAAGATGACACGATACATACACTGCCAACGTAAGGTGAGTTGAAGAAGCAGACGCACACTTTATACCTGTTCACCCCATCAGAACGATCCCGAATGAAGAACAGAATGCTCACGAACGTCAGCTCAATACTCCACGGCCTCGTCATCGATAGCTTGCATGGGCTCATCCTTCTCCTTCTCCCCTCCGTCATCTTTTTTACCCTCTAGCTCATCTGTATCCATTCTTGCTTCCACGTCACCCTCTTTTTTCCCCTCCTCACCCTCTTTTTTATCCTCCACCTTCGCATCCTCTGTATCTTCATCCATGGGCTCACCTTGAGATTTCTTAGCTTCTTCGACCTTTAACCGCAGCGTTTTTACATCTTCAATGCCCTGCACGCGCTCAGCATGGAACATCTGCCACTCTGCTTCAGCAGCGTCTTTTACGGCGGAGCGACGTGCTGAGATGAATGCTTCCTGTGATGGTAGGAGGATGGCCGGAAGGTAATACAGGGGTGGCGGATGACTACGAGGGGGATTCGCAAGGGGATTCAGGAGAGAACGAGTTTGCTCCTCGCCTTGATCCTGGGGGATAACGTCCGACGTGAGGAGGAAGTTCGCCAAGATTGGCAGACGGCTCCTGCGGTATTTCACGACAGAATCTCGCAATTGCAGCTCCTCCTCTTTCCTGTTTGCTGACAACTTATCCTTCCGTGCATCTTCGGCTTTACGCACAGTGTCGTTCTCCCGCCGCAGTTTCGACTGGAGCCGTGCTTCCAGTTTCATGCGTTTTTTTGCCTAAGAGTCAGCATTAAGCAAGGTTGATACAGTAGATGAATTCATTTTACGCACTGCTTCGCTGGCATTGCGCTCCTTATCTTCCCTCTCCGCTTTTTTGAGTGTGCCGACGAGCAACCCGAACATGCCACGACGGGAGGGGGCTGCGAGACGGGGTCGGGTTTTCGCTGCAGGTTCTGTTCTGAGTAAAGATTGTTAGATAAATTATAGACGGTATCACATAAACACGTACTCTTCAGTCGACATGTTGAAAAGTAAGTGGTGGGAGGAGGTAGAGTGCTGTGGGAATTCTCTGCCGTTTAGAGCGTCATTGGTAGTCACCCGGCACCGATTACGGCCCGATTCACCGACATTTGGTCATTACGTAAGCTACTTCCGAAAGGTGTTGTACTGAAATTTACGAAGGTACTCGCTGAGATGAACACAGATATCTATTTTCAGACCATAGTAAAAGAGACTGGCATCCTCCATGGGCCTACCGATTGTTTGCCCATTAGTTACCGAGCTTCCATTGTAAGAAAATCTTCCTGCCGGGGTCGGCACATAACGCTGGATGCCGTCGGCCCGAGGTAATGCCTCATCTGCGTACATCACGACTTCGCGGAGCCACTAGAGTCCACGTTGACCAGAAAAGATTGGTAAAGAATCTAAAGATTGATATTTGTGTTGCAGCAACTCATATGGAGGACGGACGGGATCAATGGCTCTGTAAAAGAAGCCCTTCGAGTCAGAACAATGGCAAGCCTGTCGAGTGGTACCTGCTGGTAGATTGCGATGGAAAATCAACGGCTAATATTACATATAGTGATACAATTTTATTTTGTCTCGTTTGCTACTTCGGCGAATAGCATATACCTTTGTTCATGATTTGCCTAAGGGAGGGCTCGGCCAGAGTTGATAGCATTAGCGACTTGGCTAGTGTTGGGGCGATTGAAAGCATATCTACAAAATGTCAAATTAGATAAAAAGTCAGTGACTGAGTCAATTTCTGACTGGTGACCTTTCATAGCTATCCAGGTACAAGCCCTCCGTGCTACAGGTTCGAGCGAATGCAGGGTGTCCAAGAAGCTTGGACATCCAGGCTTTGAATTTTTGACCGGACGGCATAATAAATCCTCGATAATGTTTCAGAACATTCGTAGCGCGAAACAGCCCTGATATTACACAGTTAGTACAATTGACCGGACCGAGATGCGGGCTTTCCTCACAAGGTCCCGCCATAATGTCAATCCATCCAAGCTCGTTGTTACCTTCGATCCATAGCCCGAGTCCAATGCTTAGGGCTTTCTTTTCTCCTTCACCAGAGACGCCTCCGACACCAACAATTTCCTTTTCAGCCCTTTCGAGGAGTGCAACAAGTCCTTGAATAGAGGAATGGAGCTCTTTACACGATTCAATCTGGGAGGAGGTGTCTTGCGCTTGGAGATAGCGATAGAACGCTGGTACAAGAGAGCGATTGACATGGTCTGACTGGAGACGCACGAGGGCCCGAGCGTCTGGGGAGCCTAGTCAGCACGTATAGTGAAACAGCATTATCAATAAAAGTAGTTACAAGGATTCGAAGTGGGCGGAAGAAGGCTGCGCCCGGTTAAATTGGTTGAAACACTGTTATGATGATCAGCATTATCGAGGGAGATCGACTAGCAGCTTACTCTTGGATATATTCCATGATTACTGTACTCTCGTTGAGGGCCCTAGGTGGGCTGAAGTTGTGGAGTTTGAGTCCAGGGACGAGTCCTTTTGGGGATACTTCCAGAAGATCCTTGGGCTTCTGGTACGGATCAACCTCATCTAAAAGCTATCAGGATGCCGGCAATGGACGGAGAAACGAAACTGGTACAATACTAGGGTCCGCCGATCAGCCAAAATGAGCAACTACAGAGGCATCACAACCCACGTTATAAGGTATTTCCAGACACTCCAAAGCTACCCAGACACGCTGAACGAAAGGGCAGAAACAGCTACCAAACAGAGTGATATCTTGGGTACCAGATGACGGGTGCTTGGCCACTGTTTCTTGGGCAATGCCAGTACAGGATCTATGGTAAGTCCCTCCCGTATCCTCAGTCGACATGATGGCAGTTGTCTGAGTTCTGTGACTTCATCATGACGCATGACCAGTTGACCAGTTGACCGGTGACCAGCAGCCAAAATAGGACAGAAGTAACTGCAGGAGTTCCAACGTTCGGCTTTCACTTATTGGCGGGCCAGCTTGATAGTTATTAAAATTTGGGCTCGTCTGCCAGTTTCATATGCGTATAGCTAAGAATAGCCGCACACTACCAGTGATGCACGTATTTTCGATTTAGCCATGCGTTTAAAAACAATAACTTGCATGCTGTGATGTTGTAAGGCTAGCCTATGGTTGACTTCGTTATTTAATATTTAAGGAGAAGCGAAAGGAAGACGAAGCGTAAACGGAAGACACCCACAAACGTGCGCATAACCACCCCTCTACGCCTCCATTAGCGTCTATACCACGCAAAGCGACGGTTCAGTTCAAATGTATCCAAGCCTGACTCATGATGATCCTCTTTAGCCAAGTACAGACAGTTCACAGGTGAAAATATATGCACAGAGGAAAAATCCCTAAGCGAAATCGTGGCCGGGCCGATGTCGTGCAGGATGTACCTGAGCATAGCCCTTTTTATGTGGATCCCTTGGCCTCACATTGTTCTCGAGCGTCGGATTACTCCTAAAATGTATTCCAGTAGAATTTTCAATGGCGGGGAACCGACGCACAAAGTTTTGCTGCTTCATCATCTATACTTGGCACAGAGCTCTGAGATAGCGTGATTGTCGTCGTACTGAGAATGAGAGAAGAAGAGCGACAAAATTCGATGGCGGTAAGTACTAAGTAGAAGGAAGAGTTGAGGAAGCCTGAGAGTTAGCGTACAACTCGGTTTTCGGGCCGTGCCTCCGGCGATGGTTGAGTCAACGGTCGGGAGTTCACGGCACCCATGCGCACCAACGCAGTGCCCACACACTTCCAAGCCGCTCAGTTTGACTCTTCAATCCAAAGGAGAGACATCGACCTGCTCCGCGACGCGGCTGCATCTTTGGAATCGCGGCTCACAATAATTAGGCGCGACTGCAAAACAGCCTTATCTCCCACGCGTCATTTGCGTGGAGAAATACTTGCGAAGATCCTGCACCGAACTCAGAAAGATCTATGTGATCCCCGCTCCAGAGGACGTCATTATATCTTCGGATTCGATTTCGTCAGGTATACAGCCTCGTGGAGAGAAGTAATCGAAACACTCTATCCCGAGCTGTATCGTGTAGTCGCAATTGACAGTATACGTGCCTCGGAGAGCGCGCACTCGAGCAGAGCTGTGAACATCGCCTTGACTTTTCCTTCAGGTATTTGGGGGATGACGAGGCGGAGGACGAGAGCTCTGACGAGAAACTGGCGGAAGTTATGAGCCAGTGTTTCTATCTGTTGTTGACCATCTCGATGCGCCGGGGATCAGTTGGATTGATCATATCTCTGCCTCTTCTCTTCCCTGTCTCACAGAAGCTTGAGGATGTACTACATTTATCATACCGTGTGTCTGTTCATGTTCTTTTCAAACTCGCCTCTTATTTTCAATGATGTTAGCCCGGCGGCGATCTCGACTCTCAGATTGGAGCTTGAACTCTGGCCTTGTACTGCCTCAAGTAGGTATCTCCTTCTCGAACCTCATTTGGTGCAGAGAATCCGTTGACAGTTCCGTCGCGCGTGTGTAAACTTGAACATCTTGGTACGCTGCATGGATCCACCGGCGCTCTAGTTGCCCGTCGGTTATGCACTTCTATGATAACGGTAAGTTGGGTTCGATTCCCAGCCGATGAGATGCGTGTCTCGTGGTTCATCATTTTGGAGAACATACCGTTATGAGACCAGCAATTCTCTGCATTAGCGGCTCACTCGTCAACCAATTGACATGCATCGTCTTTCAAAAATACGTATCACAGGCTGCTTTTCCAACATATGTTCGTTCCGGATTCCGGATTAGCGCTTGTGTTCTATTCCCGGTTGAAGAGACTAGCAGAATACGATATTATCTCGCCCAACGCCGGGCTCGTGTGAGAAGCTTCTTCCCGGGGCTCTACGCCAAGCATGCTCCCGTTCGTACACCGTCAAGTTCTTCTCCCTCTTTTTTTCGCCTCTAGCCACGACTCGGAGAAAATGACCATTAAGTTCGCCTGCCACCTGTTGGCGTGATGGAGGTGCGCGCCGGTCTACCTGTTTCCAGTAGGGTTCGACTCCCACGCGAGGAGATAGCATTGTACTTCTTAAGTTGTTTTTGCCTAGGGGTATGCGCATTGCAGTTCCCACGGAGGTCGATAAACTTCCTGCCCTACGGACGCGCTAGCAGCTCATTCTACGCCCATTGAACGACTTATCTTCATACGGACCGTTGAGTCCGGTTTACGAGACTAGCAGCTCGCAATCATTAGATTAATTACGATGCTCGCCTTCTACAATGATCGACTCCCAGTTAGATAATATGTTCTGGTGTACTGTGTATCCAGGTTTTATCGCTCTTCCCGATCCCGCAACATTATGGATAGAAGAAAGGGTATATATGTGACTGGTCCTTTACAGTGAGCAAGCGTTACATCGACGCTGGGTCGATCAAAGGAGTCCTTGTTGCCCAGAATAGGTTCAAGACGTCTACAGCACGTCGGTTAACATATGTTCGCCCATCGCTATTATGCTCAAGCTAGAGTGTTGAAGACCCGTCCGTAGGGCAGTCAGAACGATTCGAACAGATTGGGTATGGCATTGACTGGACTATGTAACATGAAGAACCACCCCAAACCCTTTAATTATACGCGTGAAATGGTACCAGCTCAGAAGACATCCTAAATATCGTAGTTTCTAAAGGCTTGACTGAACACAAGACGATCTCAATCCAAAGACCGGTATACATCATACAAACGAAGTTCCCAAGGATAAATCTACATAAAAACACGTAACGTCGCTCTTATGCATACGAAGAGGCCGACACATCACATCGGTGAGCCCAAGCCCCGCAGTTGTTTGCAACGTTACATTTGACACGGGCGTGGAATAGCAGTTAGCTGGGTGAGAAGTGGTGGTGCTCGACAAGTCGCCTGACCCAGCACTCGATATCGCGTTGGCGATGAACTGGGCCGTCGTTTGGGATACAGTAGGGTTGATGGAGAGTACCCCGCCTTTATTGCATTGTCGGCCATCTGCCTGGTCGAAAAGCCTACAAGGTGGGGTGAATGATGTGCAATAACGAATACACGTTGAGCATACCATAGAGGACCGGTGCTGTTCACCTGAAGGCTCACGGTGGGTAGACCGGAAGCATTAACAGCGGTGCCCTCAGGAACTGTCTGACCGCCACTGTCAAAACCGCCGCTGGGTGTACATGGACTGATGAAGGATGAGGCTGCTGGCATCAATACGCTTGTTAGTGAAGCCGCGTCAAGACACACACCAAGAACACGATGATAGCCGGTCGTAAACGTGAACTTGATTATATCGCCGTTCGCAGCGACTATAGACGACCAATGCCTCTCTGTCTGCATAAGAGCTCTTCATAAACACAAGGAACAGGTGAAGAAGTTGGAACTTACCCAGTTGTTTCGTTCACTCCAACGAGCACTGACAAAGTCGCGGCGGAAACACAGGGAATGAAGGCGGACAGAGAGAGCATCGATGAAACCTTCATGAGGAGCAAAGAAGAGACGAGAGAATGTTCGAAAATAGATTGGCGACGAACTATAAGTGTCATCGTTGGCCGCTATCCAAAATGGGCAATCACCGCCGGAATTCACATCAATTATCACAGAGTTGAACTATCAGTTTGAAGTCTACTCATCGCCGTCATCGTCACCACCGTCCTCGTCCTCATCTTCGTCCACCTTTGTCAGACGTTTCTTCCCCTTCCCGTTCCTCCACCTCTCATTGATAGCTTCAACCTCATCATTCCTCACCCTCAGCATCAGCGGCACGTACTGGCGTATCCTTCTAGTTGCTCCTGCACCAAGTGGAACCTCGATACCCTCTGGATGATTCCATTTCTTGTGGAAAAGCGTTTCTTGACGCGTGCCAACCGGTCTCGACGAATGCAGCTCTGCTGCCTTCTTCAGGAAATGATGGTTCAGCGCCGTGAACACCCTAGAGCGCTCGTATATCCCCTCGAGGCGCTCATAGATCCCACGCGCTTGACCTCCGCGAACATCACCCTCTGCGCCTCCAGTCTGCCACTGTATATCCTTCTCGTCGTACCCACAATCCCATAGGACCAGCGGAAGCCCATCAGCCATCTGGTACTCCGGCTTTCTGCTGAGAATCTCCATATCCCTAGGCTCTGCACCCTGAGAGACATTAAGCAGCTGAACGATGATGTCGGGGGGCTCAAGCCCACGTCCGACGAGCAAGAGCACCGCCATGATATTCCGTACTTGGTGATAAAGAAACGCCGTTCCCACCAAATCGAACACGAACATCCCCGCCTCCACCGCATTGACTTCGGCACGAAGGATCCTGCGCATGAACAACGTCAGCTGCTTCGACGGGTCAATTTTGCACAGATTACGGAAATCGTGCAAACCGACGAGATGACTGGCAGCATCGCGCATGAGGGAGAGGTCCAAGTTCAGATCGGAGAAGAAGTACTTGTAGTGTCGAAATGTGCAGGACCGGCGTGCGGAGAACTCTTCCGCCACAGGGGACCAAGCGAGAACGCGGATCGTGGGGGGTAAAATGCGATTCAGGATGCCGGGGTAGTCGTGCTCTTCCTCTGGCTTGGAGGACAAAGAGGTGTTGGTAGTGTTATCGAATAGCCCGAGCATATCGTCCTCGTTTTCGTCAAGTCCCTCAGCTTCTTCCTCCGCCAGTCCATCAGAGTTCTCCTCCTTGCTCTGTCTCAGGGCACTGCGCACCCAAAGCGAGATGACCTGTCCAGCAGCACTCACACCTCGGTCTGTCCGTCCACATTTCTCCCAAGCACAACCTTCGTACCCTCGAGCCTCGTCAATCAGACGCGCCCTACACAGTGCGTCATATAGCACCCCTTCAACAGTCGGCAGCGGTGTCGGTTTCTTCTGGAACGCCATCCCGTTATACTCCCAGCCGGAGTAGCAGAACTTGAGCGCAATTTTTCGGATGGGGTAGGAGTAAAAGTCAAAGTCCGTATTGGGCTGGGGAGAAGTGGCGTTGGAGGCCTCTCTTTGCTCTAGTGCGGAAATGCGAGCGATTAGATCCGTTCTTGACCAAGCTTCGTAGTTGGGGGCCATGGCGCCAACGGCTACGGTAGAGTACAATCGGTATCTACGGATCTTAAGGGATCCAGAGATAAGCATGCACCAAAGAAACCTGCGCCTTACAAGTCAAAAAAGGGTGACGGCATATAGCTCATAGATATCACCTTTTCGTTAAACTCTAACACTTCTGCCTGAGATCTTTTCCTAAAAACACAGTTAGCATTGAAAGACACATTAAAATGGCACAAACCCCGTAAGGGAATGTTGAATATCAGCCGCCCGTTTGAGCACTGTCTTTGCTGCCTATCGAGTCAAAGGGAATCATTTCGAAAGCAAGGTGGTGGTGTAAAAATTTCGGGCCGCATTTAGCTACAGGCACGTGATACCAGTAATTTACTCCGTTTAGCCCTATGTACTTCTCGAATGCAGAACCTGGTAATCTGAGGCGTGTTCTCACGTTGGTCGCACAACCTGGTAGGCTGCTTTTAGAAATCACTGGCATGCAAACCGCGTGCCCCTCAGACAAGAATATATCTTTTCGAGAGTTTCATCGGAAGCTCAAAAGATACATTTAGAATCTATGAAACGTCGACCACGCGGAAAATCATTCGAAAGCGACGAAAGATGAACGAAAGCGATGCGGTAATCGCGTTGGAGGAAAAGCACAAAGGACACGTGAGGGGGATATGATCAGACGCGTGTTACCGTGGGAACGCACTGCCGCCGTTTTCAAATCTGCCGTCATCTTTCTTTCATAACTTCCATCTTCTCTTTATTCTCCATAATGGTTTTCGGTATTTTCTCTCGCAAGGTCCAGCCAGACAACCAGTTGAAATCTAATCCAACTCAATTACGAACACCATCTCCTTCTGTCGAATCTTCATCTGTTGGAATGGCCCGACTGAATGCTTCCCCTACTGCGTCACTGCAAGAACCTCCTGCGTCCCCTTCACCACCGCTCGAAGGCGACGCCGCCGCCGATCTGGGTTTTATCACTGATCCTGCCGCCCTTCATAGTCTCGTATCTTCCGTCCCGCCCAAGATATTCCACGAATACACACTCACGCATCTCATACCGCCCACACGATCACCTGCTTCGCCTTCGCATGTGCCCATACACCCCCCTTCGTCGCGTACACTGACGCATTTGACGTCTTTCTTCTCGACTCTGACTCCACCACCGCGGCTCCATTGCGTTCGGTGCCACAAGTTCTACTTTGATGTCGAGAATACCGACCGTAGTTGCGTGGTGCACCATGATGATGAAAGCGCGGAGGTGTCAAGGGTAGGCGCGGCCAAAACTAAAGGAACGGAGTACGAGACTCTTTGGGCATGCTGTGGAAAGACTGTCGAGGGCGATGGGGACATGGGACCACCAGATGGGTGGTGTTACGAAGGAAAGCATACGGTAGGATTTGCTTTGTTCGTCGCCTTTCATGTATGCTGATATACTTCGTCAGACGGATCTAAGACGCGCTAGATTTCGCGCGGATTCATCCATTCACGACGATAAACTCACGTCGTGCGATCATCTTCGCTGCCACGAACCACCTCTACCTCCATCAGATACCTCGTCTCCCTCTCCATCTCCCCGTGCTCGCAAAAGGTCCACACGAAAGCGCGCCCGACCTGCCGATGATGATGGCGAGGGTGGTGAAGTTGACCAGCCCATAGCTGATGATGCTCAGAGCGTTGTGAGCTCAAAGGGAAAAGAGAAGCAAAAGGCCCCGCCCTCGAAACCTCGGAAGAAGCGCGCGAAGACGTCCAATGACGACAAGGCGTTCAAGCCTGAACCTGTTTCCGACTACGACGATATGGATGTTGACGAGACGGCGTCGACTTCATCGAAGTATCGCAAGGCGAAGCCCAAGCCCAAGCCTAAGCCTGCTACCACGCGGGTGCTTTTTCCGACGGCTAGGACACCCAGCCCTACACGACCACCAGCCTTTGCTGTTCCCGCATCTCCTATATTGCGAAAGTCTCTTTCTCCATCACGTTCAGTGGTTTCCGTTGTTGTCAGTGCGGCTCCCCGGTCACTGAAGGAGCCGATGAAGAGCCGGGGCAGACCCAATAAACCGTTGACGGACGTGGTCTCAACGAGTGTCAGTGGCGAAGAATGATTTTTTTCTGCTCCATTTTGTATCGTCATTTATGCGTATATCCCCTCTTACTTTACATCTTACGCTCATTATTTCCCATCCCCGGGCCTCGTTGCATCCATGTACATACGAGTCAATCATTGCATGTCTCCATAGGTGCCGCCATACATATTCCACTATTTACCCTACTGTCTATTGTATTGTTTTATGATCTTCCCTTGTACCAATTACATGCTTTTTTGCCTTAAATAATTTCTCCTGACTTGAGAATTAAACGGATTTCCCAAAACGGATAACAATGTTTCCAGTGAGCCGAGCCAAAGTCCCGCGCACGGACCATCCCTCGAAAAATATAAATACCCTGCCTGTGCCTTTTGTGCTTCTTTAGATACATACTCATCAGGATCTTTCTATAGAAACTGACCGAGTCTCGCATTTTTACAAATGCCGCAACCTTCAAATCCAGTCGATGACAATCACGCTCACTCGCTCTACTGAGAGCATTGGCTCTCTCGAAGGAGGGAGTCTCGAGGACGTTTGGCGGGCTCTCTGGATGTGCTTGTACGAGTCATTTGGAGGGTTTACCGGCGAGTTGAGTGTTCGTCTGATGGATCTTGTATCTCCCCTTTCTTTGCTGTGGATGAGCGAGGGCTTTCAGTTGGTGGTCTTGGTGTCTCAGCAAACATGGTTTTTTTGTTTACTTCTATCATAGATAGAATTACCTGTATATGTATTGAAGTGTGAATGTTGATTTCAGTTTCTATCATTGTCTTGCCTTTAATTCATTAGCATAGTAACCTATATTCAGTGCTGCTTGACAGCAAATTGCTTTGCTTGGCATGTATTTTGATGCACTTTGTCAAGTACTGGATGTAAAGATTGCATTCCAGTTCTAATGTGGTTATAGATTATACCTTTGAATTCCAATAATCTTCTTTGCATCTGTGCAACTCCATGTAAATAATTGCTTGTCAAATTTTCATCATTGCTTTGTGTGAGTGTATATGCATGATTGATATCATCATTAAGTAGGTGATGGACATTCAGGACAGGAATAGAATTGGATAAGGCATCAATTCTGGGTGTAAGAAAACTATCATGTATATTGCTTGGCTCCAGAGAAGGTATAGGATGCAAGATGGAAATGGTCAGCAGTCACATGGGTAGGTGGTGGTGTTGTTTGAGACATCTTCCTTATGGGAACCACATGTCAGTTGGAGTGAATTGGTAATGAGTCAGTTTGAACCAATCAATTCTACATACAAGCCTTATAATTAGGTAGCAAAAAAGTGGTGAGTCATCAATAAGATAGCATTGTGAGTCAAGTCCAAGTCTCAGACTTGACTCATGATGCCATCTTGTGGATGACTCACTCCTTTTTTACTGCTTAATTATAATGCTCATGTGGAGGATTGATTCAAACTTTCATATCTGCCACCATGGCATCCTTGATGACATCTTCAGCTGACAGATTCGCCAATATTCCTCCTGAGATGGCAGACTTGGATGATATATGGGCATTCCTCAAGCCAGGCATCGACCATATTATGTCCAATCACGAGGGCCTTCCTGTCACCGACTATGCCAACCTGTACACAGCGACATACAATTACTGCACATCGCCGGTAGGCATTTGTGACAGAAAAAGCGATGACAGCTCAAATCGAAGTAAGTTCGAATTTGTAATAATGCCACCTTCATGCTAACAAATATGCAGTTGGTACTAGTGTAGCCTCATGCAACTTTTACTTCAAGCTGATCGAATACTTCACGATGCATTTCGTATCTATGAAACAGGTTAGTCCTTGTCGCACCACGGCGATCGTCCTAATAACCGAACACAGGCAGTCGTTTCGCTGCAAGGCGAAGAGCTCCTAAGATACTACGCGTCGGAATGGCATCGTTACGCCACTGGGGCGAACTATCTCAATCGTCTCTTCTCCTATCCCAATCGACATTGGATCCAACATCAGCGTGCTCAGGGGAAGAAAGAGATATATCCTGTGTATACGGTGAGTGGTGGCGACCAGCAGTCTTGCCATTACCATTGACATCATCTCTATCAGCTTTCTCTCGCGCAATGGAAATCACAATTCTTCTATTTTATACAAACGGATAATCAGAAGCTGGCCAATGCTGTCTTCCACCTTATCGAACGTCAAAGGAACGGCGATATGATTGACCAGGGACTTGTGAAGAAGGTGGTGCAATCTTTCGTATCCTTAGGCCTCGACAACACCGATCTCAGCAAAGAGTGTCTGGAAGTGTACAAGGAGCACTTTGAAGCGCCGTTCATCCAAGCCACCAAGCAGTACTACAAGAAGGCGTCAGAAGCTTTTCTTGCCGAGAATACAGTTTCCGATTATCTGAAAAAGGCGGAAGAGCGTCTACGGGAGGAGGAGGACCGAGTAGAAAGATATCTGCACACCGAGACACGCGAAGTATTGATTGAGGAGTATGTCAAATTGACGTGGGACTACTTCCAACCATTCCTGGACTTTGATCAAGACGAAGACCTCCAGCGAATGTATGCACTGTTGTCGCGTACTTCGGACGGACTAGATCTGCTGAGGAAGCGGTTCGAGGTGCACGTCAAGCAAGCAGGTCTATCAGCGATCTCGAAACTTGTGGGAGAGGGCAGTGCCGTGAATGTCGACCCCAAGATATACGTGGACGCATTGCTGGAGGTTCATCAGAAGAACTCGGAAACTATTACTCGATGTTTCCGAGGGGAAGTTGGATTTGCGGCCAGTCTCGACAAGACGTGCGAAGGGTTTATCAACTATAACGCCGCCACCGGTTTGTCATCGAGCAGGTCGCCGGAGCTGATCGTGGAATGCGCAGATATGCTTTTGCGGAAGAACAACAAGATGGCTGAGGAAGGAGATTTGGAGAGCGCGCTTGATCGTGTGGTCTGTTCCTCGTTCAGCCAATTTTGGATTTGTATTGATCGGGTCCCTTGTAGATGGTTCTCTTCAAGTATCTGCAAGACAAGGACGTCTTCGAAACGTTCTACACCATCAAATTTTCCATACGACTCATTGACGGCGTATCTGTTTCTGATGAGAGTGAAGCCAACATGGTATCGAAACTGAAGAAGGTTTGCGGTTTCGAATACACCAATCAGCTCCAACGTATGCTCAGCGGTTCGTTGTTTTTGTGCAAGTACAAAATGTCTGACTAACCGATGCCCACAATAGACATGAGTCTGAGCAAGGATCTTACTGACTCGTTCAAGGAGCGGATGGCCCAGAACCACGATGATATGGACATGACTTTCACCGTCATGGTCCTCGGTACTAACTTCTGGCCTCTCCACCCTCCGACCCACGGCTTTACCATTCCCGTCGAGATCATGCCTACCTATGAACGTTTCACAAAGTACTACCAGAGTACACACCCTGGTTGTAAATTGACATGGCTTTGGAACTACTCGAAGAACGAACTGCGAACGAATTACCTGAACCAGAAATACATCTTGATGACTAGCGCGTACCAGATGGCCGTTCTTGTTCAATACAACCGAAACGACACGTTATCCTTGGGTGAGCTGTCTGCAGCGACCGCGATCAGCAAGGACATCCTGTCCCAGGTATTGGCGTTGTTGGTGAAGGCTAAGATTCTCGTCAATGAGGAGAAGGACCAGTACGATTTGAACCCTGGTTCGTGATAGGTTCCGCTCGTGCCTTCGCTTCATTAACCGGTCCTTATTCTCTCTTCAGGTTTCAAGTCAAAGAAGATTCAGGTCAATTTGAATCAGCGAATCAAAGCTGAAGTGAAGGCCGAGTCTTCTGACGTCCTCAAGGCCGTCGACGAAGACAGGAAATACGTTATCCGAGCTGCTATTGTTCGGTTCGTACAGTTCGCACTGTGCATTCTCCATCCGCTGACTGTATTGCAGAATCATGAAAGCCTATAGGATGATGACAGAACAAGGCCTGATCCAGGAAGTCATTTACCAGGTTTCTCAGCGTTTCGCTCCCACGATTCCTGACATCAAAAAGGTGCGGTCCTGTTAGGCATATCGAAAAATACCTGTTCTTACATAAATTCATCCCACCAAGGCCATAGAGATCCTTTTGGAGAAGGAGTACATGAAACGAGTTGACGGACTGGAAGACACGTTTGTCTATGATGCATAATTCCTCTGCTCCCTTCCTCACTTATATCGTCCCATCATCGTTCATTCCTTGTATCATTGTATCATAATGCATATACGTTAGGAAGTCGGCTTAGTTCCCGTCATATACATTACTCGCCGTAATACACTGACCTACTACACCTTCACTTCAGACTTGATTTCTTAGGTTCCGTACCGTCTTTACTGCCGGTGAGGACTGGATAGGCGGAGTTGGGTTCCTTGGGGTGGAAATCTTAGGATGCGCAAGCGAGATGGAAGCTGTTTCGTGAGCTTCGGCAAGAGTGCTCACGTGCTCACAATGAAATGTTGCATGGCACTGTTCCCTCCGTTTTATTACTATTATTTCTTGATGCCTTCGTCCTCCTTCCCCCTTTTCCTCTGTATAACTCAGAGTGACTTGTTACTGAGTCTTCTGACTAGGTAGGAGTCAGAATTCTGTAGTATATAAAGATGCAACTACATAGTAAAATATTAGAATTCTCTTGCCCTTTTCATTGTCTGACTGGACTCAAGCCTGCCCCAGTTAGAGCAATACCTCACTTGATCAAGTGTGGGATTTGTTGAACATTTTCTCAAAACACTTGCCTATCTATGAGGCTGGATACTTGATCATGTGTTCAGCTAGCTCCATTTTTCTCCACTCCCCACTCAACCATTGTCTCAGAGGAGATTTATCCTCCCAGTCAATCTCACATTCAAAACTTTTAGCTGTCAAGGCTTACTATCAGTCTTCTACCTCATTATGTCTGATCCTCTCAATAATCTGGCTTTCTTTGTTTCTGCTGATACTTATGCTGCACTTGCCTCTGTTCTTATGACTTTTGTTCAGTGCCTCACTGAAAATGAGGGTACTTTGGATGCACTTTGAGCAGAAAGTAACTATGCAGACTGCATCTCCAATACACTGCAATTTTCTCTGTTGAATGCTTCTTTCCAACTCTCCACTACTTCTACAACAACTACTAGTGCACACCTCTATGGCTTTTGTGTTGACCTTTCCAAATTCTATAGCATCCTTAAGAAGAGTGTTCAGACCTTCCTTTCCATTATTCAGGACTATCTCAAGACCTCACACATTTCCAAAGATGACTGGGGTGTGTCAGTTAGTGCTCTTCTGTGAGATAATGCTCAAATCTCATACCTCTTGAAGGAGCAAGTCAATAGAGGCTATTCACTAGCTTGGAATGAGCTTGTTAAAGTGTGCAAGATGCAATATAATTCATCTATCTGTGCTGATGAAATTTGTGGGATCCTACACAAAGTTCAGTATCACAGCAATATAACTGACTATATTCTCCACTTTCAAAATTTTGAAATGCAGCTGGATGACAAGAAGATAACCTTTGAAGACTGATGGTACTACTTCACTCATTCTCTTCCTTCTGAACTTGGCTTCCACATCTCAAATCTCAATCCTCATACTATGTTAGAGGTCTATGATATTATTTGCAACTGGGTTTGCTATAAATGTTTCACACAGGCTGGCTATAAGGCTGATCATATGAGTGAGCAATGCTAGAATGATAAAAATATACCTGCTCAATCTATTGCTTTCCCATCCTCAGCCACCCCATGCATCTCTATACCTATATTCATGGACATTAACAGCTTTGAGCATTAGACTAAGATACAGCTGCCCACAGGCTCTTGTTTCCACTAAAACATGACTGAAGTCTGATGCTATAATTGTAATAAGAAGGGTCACTATGCTGAAAATTGCTATCTATTCTGAAACCCCTCCAATAGTGCCAATGGGAACAATGTCTCACACAACAGATAGGCTAAGCATAATTATTCCTGCTCCACTAGCCAATTCATATTCCATTTTAGCAACCCTCAATCTATTTAGTCCTGTGCTCATAATGTTACTCAACTATATTCATCTCAGGAGCTTGATGTAGAGATGCATCACCAGCACAAACTCACTCAAAAGGATGTTGACAAGTTTTTCAAGAGTTGCAAGTCTGTCAAGTTAAATAACAGACCATCACTGTTTCTTGACTTTCATCTTTTGAACCTTGATAATGAAGCTTCTGAGGGATTGCCTGTTTATCATACTTCAGTATAAGGACACTAGATTTCTAGGCAAAAAAGACAGACCTATTCTTATAGAAACTATTTTTGATATGGTTGCTCTCAATAATTATATCTGATGCTTGATTATAGAGATAGCTCATATGGATATATTTCAACTCTAGTGCTAGCTATACTACTACAGTAGTGTAGGTACTTAGTCACTGTTGGCAGTAGACTAAAGAGTAAAATGATAGGAGAGAGAGAGATATCCTCACTCTTATAAGATGTAGCTATTTATATACAGTTTGAACTATAGGTAGTATGAATATAAGAAAGACAATGTAACAAAATAATGAAGACAATGAAAGGTAAAGATACTAAGAAATGATATAGACAATATAATTGCAGGCTGAGGTTCTTGAGTAAGATAATGTGTGCATATAATAGTGTGAAATCCTTTATATCTCATACAAACTATTCATTTTGGCCTCTGGATCAAATTATGTATCATTCTTGGCATCATTGGCAATTCCCATGAAGTTTGACATGACAACAAACTCAGTGACCTTGAGCTCCTTCTTTGATCTTGCACAGTATGGAATGAGTTGAAAGGCTGCAAATTTTAGCCAAGAGACTATGCTGTCAAGCTTCATGAGATAATATGCTTCTCTCTGGATGCATCAAACTACAATCATGGATCTAAAGTAATAAGAACAGAACTTTCTGTTGGCACTGAGTTTAATTTTTTTTGTTTAATATAAAAATGAGGGTATTCAGTTTAAAATCATAATCATAGATCATATTTGTAAAATAGTGCTGAAAGTCTGTGATGGACTTGTACTGAGTCTGAATGACACACTTTTCCAGATTAGCTAAGTCCTCTTCCCATCATTCTAGCTGGTGTGCATGCATATGCAGAAGATTAGATTTGATAACTTCATCAGAGATTTTGAGGAATAGAAAGGTCACAAGTAGAATATCAAATAGAAGAGGGAGCTTGATGCTGTGAGTAGCATAGAAGGGGGAGACTCATGTCTGTTGGGAGATAGTGATTCCATCTGTCCAGAAGGCAAGGTGAGCTTTTCTAAGCCAAGCTCTTTTATCTCTTTCACAGAGTTTCTTCAGAGTATTATGAATTATCATGATTTTTGCCTCTAAATCATGACCTGCCAATGCTTAGTAAGCAGATGCTTACCAATCCCAACTCCAGGCCAACCTTACAAAAGATGATGAAGATATGATGACATTATAGCTATGCTTTATTCATTGATGCACAATAAGATGACAAGAAACAATGTGATAACTATTGCTGTCTCACATCTGGAACACAATAGAAACTGTGGCATATGAGAAACTCACTATAGCAATAGTATAGCAGAGTGATAATAATGAACAAAAGCAAAAGCATAGTCATTGTTATTCTAGCAGAGGCCATGGAAAGCAGACAACAGTCATCTGTAGGGCATAGGGTTCTTCAGATAGTATATAAGGCAGTAATACACACTGATATATCTCAGTCTTAAGCTAAGGTTTAATACATCTACTAAACTCTCTGACTACCTAGTGTGAATACTCTTGTCCATTATAGCAGACTATCTCTACAGTCATACTCTTTTATTCCTCTTTATGAAATTTCAATTGCTTATCTCATCATTCTCATCACACTTTTATATCAAAATCAGACCTAGACTTAGCATCTAGAATAAGACCCCAGTGGAAGCAGTGCTAGAGATTTGTGAGTGTTAATGAAAGCCTAACATGAATAGAATGATGAATGACCTCAATAATACTATTAGCCTGTGAGTTGTAGGCTGAGATACATATATGATGGATGCTATACTTCTTGCTCAGGTAGTCCACAGTGGCAATAATTAGCAGGCCATTATCTGTTACCAATATCTCTGTGATTCTACTCTATCAACATGAGATTTCCTTAAAAATAAGTTATCTAACTGGTTCTTCTATCTCTGAATGGAGCAGTTAGAATTCCAGCCAGTGAGTGAGACTGCACCTCCCCTGGATAATATACTGATATCTTCCTGCCTTTGGTAGATGCATAGTATTAATATAACACTTTTAAAATAGTTTCACAGATGTAGAGATTTTTAGAGATAAGTGTACATGTCCTATGGATTCTAACTGGCATTCATAGTATGTCTTCAGATACCATCAGATATTGTTATCTATCTAAGGCCACCAGAAACAATCCTGGAGTTGTCACCATATTGAATAAAAGCCTCTTTAGTGTCTTAACTTATCATAATTGGCCTGCAAAACTGCTAGACATTCTGGTCTAAGAATCACAAGCTGATGTTGGCCATTCTGGTTGTGTCAGAATAGTTGACCTCTAGTGATAAAGTACAGCTATGCTTGTTATTGCAGTACAGGTAGTTTTGTTTATGGAATTGATGGTGAGCATTTAAAATATGTAAGATAATACTGAATATCTGCTATTACTGAATCTCATTGTTGATACTTTTTATTCTGTGGGAGTTCTCTTCTACTGTCACTTCCTGCATGTGCAGCCAATGAAGCCTAGGTAGGTCTGATGGAATCTCATTTGCTCTAGTTGATATTGCTGATAGTCTCATCATGCAGGAATGTAGTGATCTATATGTTATAGCTTAGTATATTATTATCAATCTAATCCTCTGCATTTTTATCAGGTATATTATTTTCATCTTCTGTATGCTCATGCTATAATAGTCTATCAGATTCTTTGAAACATTTCATAGAGATGTACATCAGTGTGAAATTAAACATCAATATTGCTTCAGTTTATCAGTTTATTGAGGCATTCAGGTGGAGATCCAGATCATTCAGCATCTTCTTGATGTATTTTGCATATATTTTAATAATAAAGTGTTTCAAGCTGACAAGGTAAATTCAGACAGTATGTAAGGCATACCAAAGGCCTCAGAGTTTAATCTTGACCTGTGAGTACTAAAGTTCAACATTAGACTATGTAATCAATCTGAAACAAGCAATATGCCTTCAGTTGTCAAGGTCTTTCTGCTGCAAGAGAAATCTGCAAGCAATTTTGGATGAATCAATAGAGAGAATGACATTTCAGCCAGAGATATAGTCTATGGGTTGTATTGTAGAACAACTAATGACTGCA